GTTGTTTAGGCATCTAAGCGTAACAACACTTATTTATCTTATCACCAGCCCTTTTTATGTCCCCACTGCAGGGGCTCAGGCCTTCCTTATGGATGGTTAAGGAGGATGGGCCATGCCCCTCCTCGCTGGCCCAATGCGGATTGGAGGGTATTAACGACTGCAAATGCAGCCGGGACCAACGGCTTAACGTGCCTTCCGAAGCACGGAGTAACTCGAGATAATAATTTTTTGGTCACCCATCCCGTGACCGACCCTTACGAAAGTTGCTTAACGACTACGATCGCGGGCCGCGGCGCTTATCCACTACGCCACCGAGCTACTGTTATTTATCTTACGCTGAGCAAATTAGAACTATACCGAGTTTGCCAAAACATATGCAGTGATATTTACCAACTATATTAAATCGTCATATAAAATATAGCATTTTATAATCTAAAATAAATATCAATTATAAGTTTATTGGAAATTAACAATATTGCCGAAATAAATATCGATTATACACAAATCGATAATTTTACACAAATCAGGAAACCAACACACACAGACAAGTACCTCCACGCTTCATCTCATCATCATCCTCAACACCTACGTTCTGTGGAGACAACTCTTATTAACAGGGCTAACGCATTATGTAATACTGACTTCTTAGCAGATGAGTTGTCCCATGTACAGGACGTGCTAAGGAAAAAATGGATACAGCGCAAGGAGGTCATACCCTATCCGAAGGTGTAAGGAAAGACTACCTAAGGTTCCCAGGCAACGGGCATTTTTAGGCTATGTTAAGGGAGTAACGGACAAAATCGGTTCCATTTTGAGGAAAAAATTTTCTATAGACACCATTTTTACTCCTTTATCAAAAATGTCACACCAATTGCGATCACCAAAGGATAGTATTCCTTACCAAAAACCTGGCGTTTATAAAATTGACTGCAGCTGCGGTAGTTCATATATCGGACAAACGAAGCGGACTATCGCCGAACGTGTAAGAGAACACATAGCAGCGGTCAAAAATCGTCAAGTGGAGAAGTCCGCGATTGCAGAGCACTTATTATCATCTGGATCAAACCACTGGATCGAGTTACATACACCTCATGTCCTTTCCACTGAACGACATTACTATCCAAGGATTGTTCGTGAAGCGGTTGAAATAAAAAAACACAACAATTTCAACCGGGAAAGTGGATATAAACTCTCACCAACGTGGAATCCGGTTATAAAAATGTATAAGTGTCGCGATCGCAAACAACCACGAACAATATTCTCGGATACCGTAAGTGCAGTGTGTCGCCACCTTTACGTATAATAAAATCAAGTGGAGGGTACATCTGAAAATCAGTTAAAAACATTATTACCGGATTACCCTCAACTAAAATCAGAAGACGACACCCGCCAGTTCTCCAGTCTCCTCGTGACCACGGCTGCTGTAACGTAGCCGAAACGTCGAGGTAAATTAATTGTTTTAAAAAATGCACGAACAAGACCCGATTGCATATAATTATAATGTATACAAATCGTGTGAGTTTAAAAATATTATGAGTTATATATATCATTGAAATCGGCTCGTTCCGCTCCGTCGACTGGTATACTTGAAATTACGATATCTTTCAAAAAAAGGACCCTTACAGTAAGATTTTTTGATGGGCTAAGCACATTTTAAAAGAAAAAAATAATTTAAAGGACGTTTTTTATCCTCTCTAATAAGCTCAATAAGGTATCTCAATTTATAAATAAATATGTCTCTTACATAAAACTTGTATTATTTAAATTTTGAAGTTAGCCTTATTTTTGGGCACTTGATGATACAAAAAAGAAAAAGAGATTGGTTAGTACAATGCTCTAGAGTAACAGATATAAAACGCAAAAATACAAAAAATATAATAAGCAGGAGATCTTTGTCTCATGAATATTTTATAAGATAAGTGTTCTATCTGTACTAAAAATGAAAATAATCCGGATTCAACGACTAATGAACAATTGGAGGAATACTTAATGGAGAAAGAGGCTACATACAAACGTCTTCACATTCATCGAAATTTGAAATCGGATCAGGCGTTAGTTGTGGCTAATTTCGACCTCCAAAAGGTTTTAGCAACGCCTTACGGGGAAAGCATGATGTTGTACTATTCACGAAAGTATGATGAATATTTGCGCCTCCCAAATAAAGCAAAAGTCCACGATGAAAATGATAAAAAGATACTGATAAAAATGACGACGATAATGATGAATCAAATGAACCAAACTAAATTATAGTCTTAAATATTTTTATTATTTCAATTACATCCTCATAAGCTACAACAATACGGATAAACTTTTACTAGGTGCATTAATTTTATACTAACTTTATTATCGAAAAGGAGAATGTTATTGAATGCATGCTTGTTACTTTGTATAATTTCTTCCGGCTAAAAGAGCTAAATAAATCACATAAAACTTTACAGTTAAATAGCTCTATGAGGATCCAGTTGACAAAAAAAGTAACTTTTTAATTCGGTCAATGTGAACAAAGAAGCAGTCCGGTTAGGAGGCTACCCAATTTATTAAAGTTAAAATAAAGCCTGTTGATTTATTTCGAGATGATTGTATTGAATTAGTAAGTAGGGAGTACGGTTTAATCATGATATAATTTATCTGTCAATTTATAGGTTTGTTTATATTAAATTCTGGTACTTACACACTTTTGTTAGTATTTATAATATTTCTACGTGTAGTAAAACATTTAATTTGCTAAAATAATGTTATATTTAAACAAAAAGATGTTGATTCAAGACAGTTTAATACTCTATCTTTATAATAATGTTATTTTAAACCAATAACAGTGTTGATTTACAAGATATTTAAGTATTAATAAATTTGTAAGAAGTGCAGTTTAATGATACAATATTTTAAGATAAATCTTGTTTCTAGCAAAATTTTGTTTGATTTAATTTTGGTTTAAAGTAAGAAGATTTTTACCTGTCAGCTAAAATAGTATTCTAATAAAACAATGAAAGCTTTTGTTTACAGATAGAAAAATGTCTGTATCTATTAAAATAACGATTTTGATGATTGATGTTGAAACAATAAAAAAATACACAAATGTATAGTTAGTTTAATTTATAAAATAATTATAATCATACTAGCTGTTAAAATAAAATATGTACATGCTTAGATTATTATTGGTAATCTGTTAATAGCACGAGTGTAACTAAACCATAGATCTTAATTCAATGACAATAAGCTTCCTAATTGATATCAAATTATACTTGTGAAAGGTAAATCCTAATTCATTTCGAAAGACCTTTACATTAAAATAGCTCTAGGAGCCTTTACATTAAACTGATATAAGTTTTTAATATCTTTACGTTTCCTGCATTATTTTGTCACAGCTCCCAAGTTAAATAAAAGTAGTGTAAGGCACAAGTAAATATTTTTTTTTAATGTAAGGGACAAGCTATCTCGGAAAATATAAACTTTTCTTATATTTTGATTCTATAGCATTAAAGAATGCAAAAATCTAAGAAACTTTGCCCTAGATATCGTCTAAATCGGACCAAACAATTAAGAGATATAGACAGATTACGGAAAGTGAAATCGTTTTTTAGCTCTCCTGAAAAACCGTGGTATGTCCCTTACATTAATTGATATTTCCGGTATCGATATATGGACTGACATATCGGGCTTGAAAAAAATCGGACCTCCGGACATGAAAATTCAGTGAAGTGCACAAGCGCCCTTAATGTTATCACCCAGAAAAAAATTACCCATGTCAATGTTTAGCGAAAGAACGACTCGTTGTGCTGGTAACAAATTGACCAGTGATCAAATTTGGCTTTGGTTTAATTTGGCATCAAAAAATGAAATAACGGGTTAACAACTTGTTAATGTTTTAACTATAGTCAAGTTAACAAATGGTGAAATGAAATTTGACTACGGATCAAAAAACTGGCCCTTAGATATCAATACAAATACGAAAAAGTACCAATAGAATATCAGTTGTTTATTGAGTTTTGAAAACTAATTTACTTTTTAACATGTAAGAAAACTGGAAGGGTTGTCATGGAGAAATCAAGAACGTACTGAAGTGACATCTAGTTCACCCATGTCATATTTGTGATAAAATATGACGTGGCTGTATAGATGGATAGGGATCTTTTGTCTACCCTTGAGGGGAAAAAAATGTTTTAGTGTCAATTCAAATAACTGTCATAACTCAAGATTTGGCTGTATGGCTTAGTTCCTTCGCATGAACCATGACAAAATTACTACATATTACTACTACTTTGTAGGGGTGTTCACTTAAAAAATATATCGATATGAATACTCGATATATAATATCGGTAACTGACATCGATGTTTTTCGATATATCGTATAAAAACATCGATATTTTTTAGATATCAAGTATTTTTTTGAAAATTTCAATATTTTCCTTTTTTAGGCCCACTTGAAAAACAAAACTTAGAAAAACAAACGTCATCATCGTTTTTGTCAAAACTCAATATCAACATACACTTTTTTGAAGTCGCCGCGCCATTTCATCATTCATAGTTATTTATAAACTAGAGTAAAACTGTTTATTAATAACTAAAAAAATACCAATAAACCGTTTGTACTGCCGAACTAAAATAATGAAGAGATCCAGGGCACCTAATTTCACAATTGCTGAAAAAATGCACCTTTTAAAATTAGTGGAGAAATATCTTATTATAGAAAACAAGAAAACAGATGGGGCTGCAACAAAAGATTAGCAATTGGCTTGGCAAAACTTAGCTGCCGAGTACAACTCGCCCTAGGACGTCTGAAAATTTGATGTCATGTTATAAATATCAAAGTGAAAATGTTGTAATGTCAAAATTTACTTTAGCTTTTATCGTCATCATGAGTCAGCTGTCAACGTTATTTAATCGATTCGATATTGTGTTATAAATGTATCGATGTTCGATATATCGAATAGAAAAATATTTTTCAAAACATCGAAACAATCCGATATATCGTATGGAAACGAGTACTTTCGATATATCGACGATATTTGAACATCCCTACTACTTTGTCAATGTCAATTTGGTTTTGATTGTTCTCGCTTGGTCTGTTTCGATATTAATTCTGAATGTATGCCTTTATTTAGCTAGGAATCATAATTATTTTTCGCCAAAATGATGGCTGGAAAAGGTATCCTAAATTATGTTCATAATTACTCTATCGTTCAATTTTCTTACTCTATTTTTTGTCGAAGCTAACACTGGTGCTCTTGTTTCTTTTGCAGTATTACCAGAAACTGAAGAGCAGAATAGAAGAAGATTTCAAATGGAACTAGAATTTGTACAATGCTTGGCTAATCCTAATTATATACATTGTAAGTTATTATCATAAACAATATGTAATTCAATTTTATAGCTCCGTTGTTTTTGATTATTTTTACAGTTTTAGCTCAGAGGGGATATCTTAAGGAACAAACTTTTGTAAATTATATAAGATATCTACAATATTGGCGAGAACCTGAATATGCTCGATATTTAAAATATCCCATGTGCCTACACTTTTTAGAGCTATTACAGCATGAGGCATTCAGAAGAGAATGTGTCTCAGCACAGGTTGGTAGAAAAATTATGTCTCTTAATATATTTATGCATTTCTATATACATTTTTGAACTTTATGTTAGTTATAGATGTTTTAAAAATGCAACTTAATAAATATTTAAGATTATAAACTAAGAAATAGTCAAAGTTTATGTTGATGTAATTAGTGCTAAAGGTTATCACAATTGCTTAAAGTGATACTTAAAGTGATATTTAAATAATTTAACAACATTTCCTTAATTTTAAGTTATTTGTTAAATGTGTCTAATACTAAGTATTTAAATATATATCAAGCCTTTTCAGGAAGAACATTGCGAGCGCCAAAATTCCCAAAATAGGTATTTCTTGTTACCTGTTACTTTTTCGCTACTACACAGTGTATTTTCATCACACAAATATATCTCCATCATACTGATGTTTAGATAAATTGACCTGAGTAATGTATCTGCTGGCCATTTTTGCAATGTATAATTAAAAATAATGTATCTGATGATTACGCTACCCATGATAAAAATTATAATCAAGAGTTATGACACTTACATTGAGTGCACTGTGGTCATTACTAGGTTGTTATGCCTTTCATTTAATAAACACTTCAGACCAGCAAATCCCTATTAGAAAACTTGTTACCTGTTACTTTTTCGCTACTACAAAGTGTTTTTTCATCACACAAATATATCTCCATCATACTGATGTTTAGATAAATTGACTTGAGTAATGTATCTGCTGGCCATTTTTGCAATGTATAATTAAAAATAATGTATCTGATGATTACGCTACCCTTGATAAAAATTATAATCAAGAGTTATGACACTTACGTTGTGTGCACTGTGGTCATTACTAGGTTGTTATGCCTTTCATTTAATAAACACTTCAGACCAGCAAATCCCTGTTAGAAAACTGCTTATATAATGCCAATATACAAAAAGGATAATGAAATATACTTATATTTTTCACAGGTGTGTAAATTCATGGACGACCAAGCTATATTGTTATGGCAACATTATACGAGGCGGCGAACACGCACCCTTCAGCCACCAGATGCACCACAGCCTCCAGCACCACCTGCACCTCCCACACAAGGACCTCCTAGGCAGCAGTCATAGATTCTATTTAAAATCAATTTCATTTATATCACATCATCACTACATATTTTGGTTAGGGTCAGATTAACCTTAAAGCAGGGTAGGCAACTGTCTGGGTGTCCTACATGTACGTGCAGCCCTCTGTGCCCAAGTAAAAAAAATCTTTATCAGAAAAATATATGCTTACAAGCTGGTATCTCTTGTGCCTATGTTTTTGTCAGACCATTCCAAAGTGCTTTCAAATATTGAATTCGAATTAAAAATTGACTTCATTCCTCTAAGTCATAGGTTCCCAAACAATTTTTTCTCGTAGACCATTTTAAAAAATTTTCTAGTTTCGGTGGACTCTCTGCTACTATATTTTTACCATATTCCAAAAAATTCGTCCAAAATTTGAAGATCTAACGATGGAAATTGGCGTCGCGGTTGAGTTCCAACCCTAAATAGACCCCCGTTGAATCCCTCATGGACCCCTGGGGGTCCACCTGGACCACTTAGGGAATCACTGCTCTAAATGGATAAGACCTGTAATAATCAAAATAAATTGCATCCAACGTTTCAGGCGATTAATAATTATAATTTGAATAATATCTTTATGATGTGATGTGATGTGTGTCATGATGTCTTTTCCATAACCAGACTGATGTTAATTTGTGTAGCAATTGTAGATATATGAGATGTGTTAATAGTAATTCATAAGGTTTTTGTAATAAAATGTATTTTGTTTTAATAATCCTTTTATTTTCACTCTCGTCATAAACAATCAATGATTTCTAGATAACTAAGTATTTAGTATTAGTACTCAAAGGGCCGGCCTACTCTGTTTGTCCACGAGCATAATTTCGGAATATTTCTGAACATTCTTATTATTTTGTTGAAATTACATCCGTGAAGATTATCTGTGCACCAGAGGCTGTGTCAGGTCCTACCACCGTTGCATCATTTCTTATGAGTAGTATTAACGTTTAGAAAATCGACGAAATTTCGTTTTCAAATATGGTGAAACAGAATAAGCTATTAGTTCGAGTTGTTAAAAAGTATAAATATATATATTGTCTCATGTGAGGTCATAAACATTATCGATTGTACAGAGGGGTAAAAATATATATGTGCAAGGGTCTTATATATTAAGTTAACGTTAACGATCTCACAGTGAACGGATATTGGCGCCCAATATGGGGTTTTGAATTTTGCTCATTTGATAATAATTATTTATTAAACTAAGGTCTCTAATAATACTGTTTCGCCTGCCTAAATCGAAAGAACATTTTTATATTGATTTCACAATTTAAAGATGTCTGGCGTTTTTCTATCTAAATAGTTTTTTTTGCAATACCATATCATCATTTCAATATTTTAAATAACACATTTTAGTACAATCCTCGTTACTGCGTTATAAAATAACCAAAACTTTTGTCACCTTTTGTAAGCATTTGCCCCGAGTAGATAATTCGGCAAAAAATGCAACTAATTTAAGACTTCTGATGTAGGTACTAGTGATGTAGGTTCTGATGTAGGAGTCACAAGATGCGGTGAATGACCTATCGAAACCTCTTAAACTTCTAATGAACAGTACTAGTGCAGCTGAACGTTGAAGTGTACGTACAGGAGCATTGAGAAAATAAGTAAATTTTCGTAATCACTTATTTTTCTATTTTTGAATGTTTGTTTTTTTATCCATTAGGTACCTATTTGTTGGATCTTTCATTTATGGTCTACGATCTTTGGTGCTATTGCCTAACTTCCTAATCATGTCTCTGTAGGATACGATATCTTTCGGATGTTATAGCGATATATGTATATTTTATTTTACTACTTTGATGTGTCTATTAGTGGATGAACTACTAAGTTGGTAGTACTGCTATCAAATCCATAATTATCATCCCTTAATTCGTTCGCCGTTATCAAAGGTGAAGTGAAAGGAAATAAAGCCATAACAACACTATGGCTAGGGCTTGTTTTGGTGTAACGCGGACCGTCCGCGCTCACTACGCGCGTAGCTTATCAGCGCATACTCGTTTCAGTGTCGTGCTGCTCGCTGCCAAGTACAAATATGGTCAATCCTGTTGCTGCAGTGTATTATTTATCCAAAAAGAAAGAAGTGACAACGAAAAAGATGAACATTGTTCATCCACTTTTGCTCAAAGATTGCTAGTGAGTGCATTTGTCCTCAAGAAATTTGAGGCGTTAATAATTGGCAAAGTTTGGTAATAAGTTACCACGATGCAGTAGTGCTTGTATTTGGTATCTTTATTTTTGTGGAGCGGATCGGTGCATTTACACATTTCTCAATTTCTCATGTGTTCATCTCCATTCCTCAAGAGTGTACACGCTGACAGCGTTTGCTCGGCTCGACACTGCAACGCTCGCTGAAGGCGGAGGCCCGCGTGCGTTGATTGCTCAGTAGTTAGTCATATTGGCCTGTCAGCGCCGACTAAAACCACGTCATACTAAATACTAAAGCCATACTAAAACCAGTTTAGAGAGTTGGGCTGTCACACCCCTGAGATTTTAATGTTTTTACCTCCATTATATACAAAATTTAGCAAACCTTTTCTGTTTTGTTTTTATTAACAGGGTGTACTTTTCGTTGTGATCCCATATATTTGCCCCAAATTCTAACTTATAAGAGTAGCAGTATGTCTTTAGAATGCATACGCATACGCATTGTAAAGACATACTGCTACTCTTATATTCGCAGATTGTTTCGCCATCCTTATGACAAAGCCTAATGCTTTGTGAGCACCTTTACAAACACTTTAAATATCTCCTGAAGTTTTACTTACTTAGTGAAGCCCAGTTTCGTATTTCACTAACACGCCCCAAAAGATCACCTAGTAAAGTGTAAGTTCTAGTAATAGGCATCCTAGATCTGCTGAAGATTATAGCTTTACGCTTTGATTTATTGAAAAAGAGATGATTACGTTTGTGATTAGTGTTTGTGCTTCTAGAGTGTCGAAAACCAAAGAAATCTACACGACGAAAGTTCCTGTTATTAACTTATCGTCCAAATCTCAACAGTCTTGGCTCTGATCTAAGGTTACGGTTCTCGTAACCGTACGTTACCATAACATGAAGACCTCCAAGGGAGGGTGATTGGTAGATTTTAAGGTTTAGGTTTTAGAAGATTCGATACAATCGTGTCCCATCACTCGTGATACCTTCCTACCTCCATGCCTTTTTATTATCTGAAGTCCTTGGGGGTAATCCGAGAATATCGTAACTTCACCTCCGCAGTCGCAGCCGGGTCGAGCAGACGTAGCTCCCAATATCTAAAAGCTGAGAAGTCAAGTATCACGGCGATCGACACGTTTGTCTCGTGAAAAAGTGATATAAGAGTGTGGTGCTCCACTAGGTAATAAGACGCGCGTCCAGAACATCCAGCACGCTGGGACGTAGTGAACCAGGTACGCCCCCATCCTTTTTCCTTGTGATTCACCATATTTCCTGGTCCTTCAGCCATATATCCTTATCCTTTGCCCTGGTAATCTTAAATTTTCCTAATAGGTCATCCAAAATCATATCGAAGCATTTATTAGTTCTTTGTAATTTCCTTTCACTTTCATTGTTTGGATACCCTCGTATTTATTTGTGCTTTTCAAGTCAATCACTGTTAGAGAAAATTTTGTAGTATTTTAACATTAACCTTATGAACTTTTCTTGTATAAAAAAAATATTTACATTTTAATGTTCAAAAACAAAAGCTTGTTTAAAAAAAAGAACATTTTTTTAAGCTATAGCTTAATTACATAGTACAATGATATGAGGATTGCTGATACCACACTATTCTACTTAACTACATAATATTGCATTATGACGGAAATGTCCACGCTACACAAGCATCGCCGAGCTCCCCCCGCACACTTCCGATGACGCATGCCTTCCTTTGGAGGGCGCTTCAGATCACACATCGAACTCAAAAAGTCAACTTATTTTAATCTTAATTATAATCGTATATTTTTGTTATAAATAGTTTTAAACTTTTAGTTTAAGGTATTAGCTATTATGGTTTATGAAATGCCTTTATTGAAATCTATTAAATTATTAATGATATTTAGGATGAAATCCTTATACTAGGTAATATATATTTATTGTTTATATATTTGAACGTTTGTAAATATTATAATCCTATACTACATTAACTACTTACCTTTATTAAATTTCGGGCAGTTTTAAATGTTTTAGACGATGTATGTGTGTTATTACATCGATATTTATCAATGTCCTTAATTTGATATCAATGTAAGTATGAAATCGGAAAATGGGTAACTTTTAGGCAGCAGTATTTGGTTAGGTTAGCTTAGGTTAGGTTAGATCAGAAATTTCCACAGACCGTTTTCCCCAGTGCCCCGTTACATAAACTCCGACCCAGATGAGAATTTTTTTCAGGAATAAATAAGAATGTTTATTTTGTGAACGCGTGCTTGGGTCGCTTCCGTCGGGCCGAGCAGAAGGCGCGTAAAGTTAAATAGTAGAGCAACTCTACCGCACTCATCATACTAAAACCCATGCATAAACCAAGCAGACCTCCAGTGTTTGCTGAAAGGAAGATTTATTTCAATATATAATCTGATTACTTACTTCACATTAAAAAAAAACGACTTAAAAGTTTGAACTCAGAGATAGTTAGTTTATATTGTTACAGGTTAGTTTATATTTTTGAACAACTTCTATTGAAGTCTTTTTGTGTAAGTTAATAAAATTGACCGTCTCACTTGAATAAGTGGTGCCTGATAATAAGAATGAAATCTGTGAGATAAGTGTTTTTAACTATATTAAAAATCGGTATATATTTTTTGTGACATAAAATTTTAATGTTAATATATCAAAAGTCACATGAAAGCAAAAAATACGCGAGTTGATTACTTTTACGACGAGGCGAGTTCGCTGTCGTAAAGCTAGTTGGTAGTTGTTATAAAAAAAACTGCAGATTTTTATTCGATAATATTTAAGGCATGAGCATAATAAAAATATATACTTACACAAAAATTCGGTTAGTCCAAAAATTTCTCCTTTTGTGAATCGAATAAATGTATCGTCTTCAAAGTAGAAATGCACCACTAACATGTTATCTCTGAAAAAAAATAAAACGACAAAGTAACTTTTTTACGATTGTTCACGATTGGTTACATATATGATCATCTACGTGAATTTGGCAGAATTGTACAGAATAAGAACGCTCTTTTGCTTGTTGATGTTTGTTTGTCCTAGGCGCCAAACTTACCCTAATTATGAACTCGTTGACTGAAAGCGTCACCATTTCATAACTCGTTATGAAATGGTGACGCTTTCAGTCAATTCGTTGGCGCCAGTGAAAATGAATGAATACAAGGTTATCAACCGGTCATCATTTTGATACGTATTAAGTGATAAGCGAACATAGATTCGATCAGACTTCTTTGAATGGTAAAAACCAAGTTCAACACTATTCATGTGACTTTAAAGTCTGTAAAGGCCGACTACTGGTGCGGGGTCGACTTCTGGGTATTTTACCCTACCTTAAGAAATTAATCTTCAATTTTTTTGTGATTTACTAATTAGGAAAAGTCCATAAGATTAATAAGTAACACTTAAACTTTGATTATATACTTTAAGTATTTGGTTTCTTACTTCCTAGTTTGATCAGATTATTTATTTAATTAATTCAGGTAAAAAATAACAACTGTCGAGATGACGGAGTGGTATTTGCTGTAGTTATTATTATTTGTCATCTCCTAAAAATTGTTTTCGTAGTGGGTACTTTCGCATTTAGTTATTTAAATGTTTTATGAGAACTCACGAGGGGCAAGCGTTGTTTTTATGTTTTTTTAATTATCTTTAAAAACTAGTAGGTGTGGTACTATTTATGGTATCTACCTACACTCCTCTCACCCATTACACGGGTACTCAAGATTAGATTGGCATAAAAGAATACAATAGGTCACTTATAGATTTCAAAACTAAGAAAATAATTGTAAGTATTGTGATCGATATCAATATTAAAAAAATATATAAGTAGGCCTTGTAGGTTTTACCGTAGATGTTTCGTCAAATGTAACGATTGTTTCTTACACAAAGTAGTCTAATGTTTTGTTGAGGTTCTTGGCAAGGTGCTTTACTAGGGCCTTGCTCAAAGGCGCGGAGCTGACGCGCTCGAAAAATGCTATCTCGGTGCACGCTGGTAGACACTCCTCGCATTCTTTACCTGCAAAATATTTCCATGCCGCTAAAAAGTTGTTTGGTAAGTATTAAATATACCTAAGTAAGCATTAAAATATTCTTAATGAAAAATGGTTAAAAAATCACTTTGTCCCTGGCACTCTGAGATGGGACTCGAACCTTTCACAATCCGGGCGATTGCTCTAACCACTGAGCTACCCAGGACCAAACAGAACTGATGAATTTGTTTTCAGCTATAGTGGGAAATACGTCCCAATTGGCGGTTTAAGATATCAAATTAATGACAAATAAATATTTTATCAGTTGGTTTCTGGTTTCATGTGTAGTCCTTACTGGCCCGTCGTGGTTTATAGTTTCTTATCCCAAGATGATTACATTCATTTGGTTGTACGTATTGGCTCAAGATTGACTTTAAATCATATGTAGTTTATATTTTAATATAGATCTGTAGGCACCTACTTTTAGGTTTTAATATAGTCGTATTGTCATAGCACTTTGCGTCAGCTTTCCCGCAGACTCTCGTTGTTTTGTTCTCTTAAAAAGGTATAAAAATATTTTTAATACGTTAAATAATTCAAAATTATTGTTTAGAATAAATGTTAATTTATATACAATACTTGGCATATAATAGAACACGCATCCACATAATTCCAGCATTGCTCTTGCCTCGCATTCCATTTCACAGTTCTTTAAAGTATACGTTCTGTGAATAGAACAAAAAAAAAAAAACAATGAAAGAATTGAAAAAAACGGAAAGTCAGTGCTAATTTTATTTTAAATTTTAATCACAAAAATCTTTGAAATTAAAGAATTTCTTTAATTTCAAAGATTTTTGATTATTGATACATAAGGTCTTTAATTTCAAAGATTTAATCACAAATACAGGATTCCGATGGCTCAGAAGTTAGCCTGTTCGGTCTGCGAAAGTTAAGTAACTTTTTCCAGGGCCGGTCATAAGATGGGTTACAAAAAATTTATTTTCTCGAGTTCCTCCGTGCTTTTGAGGGTACGTTAAGACGTTGGCTGCGGTTGCATCTGGTCTCGTTAACATCCACCTATATGCACTGAGCTCATGTGGTTGGTCATGGCATGGCTCATCTTTGATTCCATTTATAGGTGAGGCCTGTGTGTGCCTAAGCATTGGAACATAAGGAGGCTGATTTTAATGTAGAGGACAACTAGGAAATCAATGTAAATACTTTTTTATCTTGTAAGAATACCTATAATAAAAAGAAAAACAAACGTCCAAGATAATATTACCGGTGTCGTTACTATGGTAATGTGATATTCACCTGTAAAAAACTAAGTTGGTCTCGCTGGAGAACAGACAAAGTCTCTTTTTGATCTCTATGGAGCGCAAGTCAGGTTGGGCGTCCAGGATGCGCGGTAGAATGGAGACTCGTGCCTCTATACCCGGCCCATAGATTCCACCGAGATTTGTGATCTTAGGAGTCTCCGTTGGATTGTGCAGGAGAATCTAATATACAATACATACGTTTTGACAAGAGTTCTCTTAAGTTTGCTAAAAGGATGGTTCGTCAATGGTGAAAAGTGCAAATATTATTCTCGCTATAGTATAGTAAAAATAAATCAACTAGTTAAGTACTAAACGCTACAGAAAATTGCAGTTATAATAATCAATATTAAATTACCTTAAATCCAGCGCTTTTAGTAGAAGAGCAGTAATATTCTGCGACATTAGCATCTAATATCAGTGATAAACCACGATTAGTACCGATTCCTACAATTTAAAATAAAAAAATGTGAAAAAATAAAACGATTATACACAATCATTTTTTTTGACGACGAACTATATTTCTAATGGATGCTAGCTATATTTATTACTATCATTGTTCAACTGCCAGTCATTGCTTTAGTCCACGAGATTAAAGTCATTTTTCCATTACATGAAACTAAAAACAAGCTTCACGAAATTAATTTCGGCACACGTGAAAATACATTATTAATGGAGTGCACATCTCTGAGACACTGGCTCCGTCAACATCGAAGGGCTACTATGTGCTGTAGGTATCACGATTCTACTTTTGTCATGTAAATCGAGGTGAAATTAGTAAAAAAAATTTTTTTTTGTTTTTTTTTTATTATTATTTTTATTTGCAATCTGTCTATTGACTATAAGCAGATGTGATGTGAGCGTTTTTATCTTGTAGGAACAATACTCCATTGAGTATCTCTCCATTCTTTGTTTTCTATCATTTCAAGATCAAAGTGATAATTCAATGATGTGTTGTCGTTTAAGCCTCTTGGGGTAGTTGACGCTGGTCAATTGTACTGCCAGGCAATTTGGATGAGTAAGAAGGCGCTCTTTGTATTTGGCCGAGTATTGCCTTATTTCGTCCTTGACTGTGCAAACTCCAAGTTCATTATGGAGTTCAGTTGTTTTTATGAACCATGGCGCATTAGATAGATTTCTTAAGATGCTATTTTGTGCTCTTTGAATAATTTCTATACTGGAGTTACAGGCTGATCCCCACAGCTGAATACCATATGTCCAAATTGGTTTTAAGACAACCTTGTAAATAAGGAGTTTGTTATCAATGCTCAGCACAGAGTTTCGTCCAAGTAGCCATTGCAGATTCCTGTATCTGATGTTAATTTGGTCTCTTTTTTTAAGCAAGTAGTTCTTCCATGTTAGTCTACGATCTAAGTGCATACCCAAGTATTTAACTATATCCTGGTGCGGTAGAATTTTTCCTTCCAGTTTTACAGGTGGACAGTCTCCTTTACGAAGGGTAAATGTGACATGAACAGATTTCGAAGAAGAAGCTTTGATTCTCCATTTCTTTAACCATTTTTCTATTTTGTCCAGCTCCTGCTGCAGAAGCTGGTTTGCTTCCTCTGGATTCTTGCTACTAGCAAGAATGGCAGTGTCATCTGCAAATGTAGCAGTTAATACTCCAGTGGTTTCTGGAAGATCCGACGTAAATATGGTATACAAAAGGGGTCCCAACACCGATCCCTGCGGTACTCCAGCCCGTATTTTATAGAAATTGGATGAGTATTCCCCGTCTCTTACGTGAAAGATTCTCTCAGAAAGGTATGATTTTACTATACCGAAGAAGGTATGTGGCAGCGATCTTTTGATTTTGCAGAGTAAGCCATTGTACCAGACTCTGTCAAAAGCTTGTTCTATGTCGAGGAACGCAGATGAACAGTATTCTTTTAATTCCAGGGATTTTCTTATTTGATCAACAACTCTGTGTACTTGTTCCACTGTTCCGTGTTCTTGTCGGAATCCAAACTGATGGTCAGGGATTACCGATTTTTCAGATAGGGCGTCCAGCATGCGTACCAAAAGTATCTTTTCAAATAGCTTTGAGATGACCGGTAGGAGGCTGATAGGTCTATAAGAGCTCACTTCATTAATGGGTTTTCCTTCCTTGTGTATCATTATAATTTCAGAAACCTTCCAAATACCTGGATAGTGGCCGGTTCTCATGATGCCATTAAAAAGTGTCGATAGGTACACTAAACCTTTTCTTGGCAGTTGGACTAAGACTTCCTTACATATTTCATCAAAACCAGGTGCTTTTTTATTGTCCAGTTTTAAAATATACTTTAAAACTTCTTTAGGGTTTGTTGTTTTTAAAGGCAGGTCCATCTGTAGATCTTGATTTAATATGGCTTCAATTTCTGGATCTTCACTATTTGTACCTTCGTTTGGTTTGAAAACATTAGATAGGTGGTTGGCAAAAGCATCTACTCTTTCCTGAGCTGTTCTTGCCCATGTGCACTTTTGTAATTTGAGAGGTGGTCGGGTTCGCTTGGGTTGATTAAATTGCGCAGTAGCTTTCCAAAGGGAATAATTGGATGACCTTGTTGGTGTCAACGACTCTAAGTATGAGGTGATAGTTTTATTTTCAGCGTCCTTGATTAGTTCTCTTAGTTCCACTATAGCTTTGTTTAAAGCTTTTTTGTCTACCTTAAGCCTGCTGCAGTGCCAAACTCTACGAAGTCTTCTTTTGTCCTGGATTTTCAATCGAATAGTTGCTGGAACGCTGTTGTGTTTTGGATACTTATTTTGTCTGTTTGAGGTTGTTAACCAGCAGGCAACTTGTATTAGATTTGTAAGTTTGGTTGCAGCCGCATCGATGTCATCTGGGGTTTTAAGTGCAATTTTCAATTCCAATCTTCTATCTATGATCTCTCGAAAAGAGTCCCAATCGGTACTCTTGTTGTATAATTTAGGGGTTATCTCATATTCTAGCAACGTGGTGCTCAGCGTAAGTAGAACTGGTGTGTGGTTTGAGGATCCGTCCAAACACGCATCCGTTTTAGAGGCATATTGCGACATTCCTTTGCAAATATAGAAGTCTATTATGTCTGGCAGTTTATTCGTGGCCAGTGCGTTGGTTCTGAAGTAGAGAGCGTAACGAGGTGGTTGGTGTCTACAGCTTGTTTAAGTTGTCTTCCTCTGGTGGTAGCTATCCTCGAACCCCAATGGGGGTGTTTGGAATTCCAGTCTCCTCCGGCTATAAATCTTGGTATTAAATTAGTAAAAATATGCGCATCACACGATACTACTTTAGTGTCATGAAACTTATTCATGTATTGCGAAAGTGTATATTTAAACGTGCAACTGCTTTTGTATAGCTACTGCACAGACACCATCAGTCACCGTTTGCTTTATTTACACTGCTCGGCATATATCCACAGAAAACGTGCAGATATGAACCGTGCAGACAAACTGGGAGCGGTCAGTGTTTGTTGGCGTCTGCGCATGGTAGTTATAAATTAACCTAAGGCTATTTTAAACGCGCATACGACACACGTTTCAAGAATACGCGGTTTCTGTGCCGTAGATGTTCATTTTTGCGTTTTATAGGATCAGACGATCGATACACATTTGTACGCGCATTAAACGCGTATATAAAGCTTGGGGCCTACGAACCATCAATAGGTTAAATCAAATTGCTAGTAAAACATATTATCTGAGTATTTAAGTGTATGATTTAGATTTTCACTGTTCAAGGTATGGCAGCTGACATTTTTGACAATTTTAAGATGATGTCCAGGTTTTGGCTATTTTAAGAGTTACGACATTTTAAGAACCATTCATGGTAAAGTAATGTATTATTTGCCTATGCGTTAGAATGACTTGAATTGCCAAATGGCCCAAAAAGGGGCAGTGGCAGTGGCCTGGTCTTTTTTCCTATAAATAATGAACGTAGATGATTGTTATTACCTTTTGGCTTCCATGGAAAACCATTCGCTGGAGCATCTTGGGGATATCCTCCTTCTGGTGTCCAATCCACTGCAGGTAGTGGGAAAGTTAGATTAAGATCATTTAGAGATTTCCTGGAAAATGCATAGGTATAAATAAAAATCAATGTTAAACAAAATGCATTAATCAAAAGAACATATAACGCATTCATGGTATTTAGAATAAAAGATAGAAAATATGATCTGAAATAGAAATAATACTGTATTCTATAAAAAGTTTGTAATTTCTAAAAGCTAGTTAACTGTTTAAATAATACTGTATTCTATAAAAAGTTTGTAATTTCTAAAAGCTAGTTAGCTAATTAATATAGTCTAGTTAACTGTTTCTGACCATATATAGACTATGGACATATGGGACTTGAACCCATAAATCCGAACCCGTTGTAAACTTCACAGCTTTATTATGGTCTTTTTTACACTTTTATAAAAACAAAAAGATAAAGACGCAACAAACCCGTACGTCTAGTATTCGTTTTCGAAAACTACCTTTGCCATATTTTGTTTCCATATAGCTATTTCATAACGGCGCCTATAGAGGAAACCATAATAAATTAAAAATAGTAGTTATCGAATGGTTTTAGAGTAAAAGGCAGTATAAGTTGCAAGTTTACCGTCTAACTGAAAGTAATTCTAACGGAAAATGGAAACCATCTTAGTTTCGCCACTCGATTGAAATGTTCATGTGAGAAAGAGGATTGTTTCCATAAGAAACACATATTTTTTATATATTTGATATTGAATTGATTGTTTTTTTTTATGATGATTAATCAAAAATATATAGCAGAAATTCTATATGATACTGAAACTCCGAAACTCCGGTGTTTGAATTTCGAGCATCAAAACCTATCTCCGGAATAAAAAAATACTTCAATTCCGATTTGGATCGAAGCCGTCGTGTTATTATACACATTATCAGTGTCAGGTTTATTTTATCGCTTGAAGCTTCTTTATTTATACACGTGCAAATAATATATACACTAACGATAAGGAGAAATAATAATATTGGACATCAACATTTTTAAGTTGAACTGTTAATTGTCTTTAACTTTAGGTAAAAGTAGGCATTTAATTATTATACGTCTGGCCTGTGACATGTTTAATTGTAGTGTTTCATGGGCGTGTGTGTAGGCTGGGGACAATTTTTGACATTATCTACCCTTCTTTATTGTAATATCATTGTATGTTTATTACAAAATTTTACACATTACAATAATAAACTATTGCTTTGAAACTCAATGTCTAATATTAAACATTATTTTGTACTACAAATTAAATGAACGATAAAAGCATTATTTTGCATAAAACCATAGAATAGGGTAATTGCCGTAGTATTGACCATTGGTTTTCCTACGGGTGCAAAGGCCCGACTACACGTTCTATCTTGCTTGTGGGCAAGCCTAAACAGTATTGAATCGCGTAGGCATAACGATAGTGTAGCAGAAGCTTAATAAGTAATTGGATAGTTTAAACGAATTTGACTTGACTTTTTGCTAGAAGCGTTACTGTGAAATGTATGGTAACGTAATGAGTTTACGAAAACTATAAAAAATTGTACTAGAGGTACAGTTCGAAAACAGACGACTTTTCTTTTGTGGAGAAATAGAATTGCCTTTAGATGTTATGTTAATTTGTACGAGTTGTACTTACGGATTTTGAAACATTTTCTCCCTGTGCACCACGTTGAATGTGCAGCACAGGCCCTCGTCAGTGAGCTGCGCATTGAATAAGTCCACGCAGCTCATTTTGCGCGAGTTCCAAGAGCAACTAGCGAGCATCTCATTGCATGGCTGTGTCACCTACAGAATTTTATGTTTAATGTACAATATCATTAATAATTAACCACTGTCGGAAACAGAAACGGTAGCTGTATGATTTTTAAATTCATATGTTACTTACATTATGGAATACTCATATATCAAAAGATTTGGATAGAAATCAAAGAGAGAAATAGGAAAAGGTTTATTGGAAAAGCTCTGCAATTTCTTCATATGTTTGAGTTACAGCATTTTTTGCTTTGAAGCTTTTGATACATACGACATTCTCTTTTGATCTATTTCAAGAATTGAATAGATAGAGTTTTAAGAAAATGAAGCTTACTTATTTATGCTTAAGTAAAGAAAAGGTCTAGTTCCCGTTTTAGGTATTTCTTACTATTTATACTGTCCTCAATTGGATTACATTAAAACTCACTACAACAACAGGAATTAGAACATAACTTATTAAATAAATATAGATATTAAATTCAATTACATACGTATTTCTGTCAAACTATAATAAAAATTTGAACTGTATTCTGTTTCCTGCGTTTTTTCGTAATAAACATGGGATTAACATAGACTATTTAAGGCAATTTTTTTAAGTGCTTAAGTTTTTTTGTTATTGCATTTAATTTGAAATATACTTACATTAATGAGAAATGATCGCATGTAATCCCAATCGGCAGCTTCCGCCAACTCGTCTTCGAAAATATCTGCATCGTGTTGTGCGGAACACAAACTCTCCAATAATTTCTTATTAACAGATGATCTGGGATCAGATAATTAAACCAAAGTCATACATAACATTATGAATTTCATCTTTTTTGACAAGATTTTGTTAGATGTTATCTTGAATCCGAACGATGGAGTTGCTTTGTTTATTTATAGAGGTCTCATGGGTACTGATTACATAATTAGATCAACTGCACATAGATGTCGCTCATGCTCGGGTAAAGGCCTAATGTATGAATGGAATCAATAAAATAGGGAGAACGATATATAACCCATAAAGCGGGCCCATCACACTTAAGCAGTTATCTAGATTATTCTAGATACATACTAAGACTGTTGTTTTTTAAATTCTTTAATGATTAGAGTTCTACATTGTCTCTGATGAACATAAGCGTTATAATCTTTTCAAAAACGTTAGACATCCGTGTGAAGTCCGGGCGAGCTGCTAGTATTTATATGTATGTACCTAAATTAATACGGCAAGTAATAAAAAACTTGTTAAAATAATATAATAAATAAGTATTTATCTGAAAAGAATTAGCCAATCAAATATTTCATATAATAACTAATAAAAAATTATAGGCTGTTTTAATATTTTAGGACTTAATGTCATCAAATTAAAATACATAATTTCACGTATCACGTAAACTGAAATTAAAAGAATGCGAAACGCGTTTTGCTATAGGTATATGTATTTCGGCTTTCCTTTTAGACATCGAAGTCCCAAAATATGTGTAACAGACCCTTTACTCAGATACCGCTGCGCCACCGACTTCTTCGCTTGGTTCACGTTGCAAACGGTGATGGCTGGGAACGGCAGGTTCTCGAGAGCCATGTTTTCAGGGTTGATGCTCACTATCATCGGCGACATCGTCCATTTAGCATACACGTTCAATATGAAGAATCCCGCGCACATCAGTGAGAATAGGAACGCTGTTAGCCAGAAGAACCTGTTGGTTTAATTATTTCGTAACTCAGTTCAGATTGAAGAAAAGTTTTATTTAACTGCATTGGTGTTACAGTCATTTTTTTATAATGCGCTGCGTTGAGTGCATACGCCCGATTCAAACTTTCGTTTACTTTGAGGACCCAACATTGTTATCGACTTTTTTTATGGTAACGTAAGGGGAAATGTACAAGCCTTAAGCCGGGGCTCAACTTCAGGAAATTTACTAATGGTCCAAAGTTAATACTTTGGCTTGAGAGCATTGGAAGTAAACGAAAGGTATTGCTCATCATATAACTCTGTATCGTTTTCGCGGAGTGTTGCCTGGTTGTATGGGGTGGTGTCAACGGTGTATATATAGTACATCGCGGTAACGATACTGAGTTCTATGGATAACTATACGCATCGATTAATCCGACACTTCCATAATATATGTGTCAATAATATTTGTGTTATTAATACCTGTTACTGTGGGAATTGTAGGTTGTTTTGAGTAATTGTAGGGAGTTCAAATCTGATTATAGTAAGGTTTGTGTATTTAATAGCTTTGTCAGATCAGTTCTCGAATATTGTAGCCCAGTTTGGTGTCCCGTATAGGATCGGTTAATAAAAGATTTCTCTGGCATTAAGCATTTCCAAGTCATAAAGCATTACTAATTTCTTATAAAGAACGATTAGATTATTTAAACTCCAAATTTTTATACAAACTAACTAATGGTCAATCGGACTGTCCTTTATTTATAAAGGAAATTGGCTTAAATAATTTGTTTGCAACAAAAATGTTTAAAAGTAATTTAGTTCACTTCTCAGCAGTTAACCGTAAGCAAAAATTGTATAATAGGATCTCTAAAGGCAATGATGTTGACATATTCTCTAAATCGGGTGCTTTTATTGCCTCTATATTGTAATATAATATAATGAATGTAAGTCCACCGTATTTGTTTCGACTTCAAGATGTATCTTGGAGCCGTTTAGTTGCTGTTGTTGTAGTGGAAAAAGTTATCCTTGGTCATGGCAACAGAATCAGTGAATTACATATGAATCCAAGACAAAATGTCGTAGGACTATACTATTGTCATGCATGAATCGCGCTTGCTAAGTTTTGCATGCCCAAATTCTTTTAATCTTAATTTTCTTATGAAGCTTGCCATGGCAACCTACATATAATTGAGAGTTCGCTTCAATATATGAACATGCAAGTAACTAATGTAACAATTTAAGTGAATGTCTTGTTGGTTGTTCAATAAAAAAATAAATAAATCTGTGTCGTTTATATCTGTGTTGCTAATATCGGTGTCATTAATATCTTTGTCATTTCCGTTTTTTTTGCGTACACCCGGATAAACTATTTTCCACATAAAATGGATGTGAGCAACAATGAGTATTGTATAATATGATTTGTTTTCTTTTTATATTTCGAGTTTCTTATTACCTTGGCATGAAATGCTCACCTTTCGAACCACGTGAGCTTCTTTTCACCAATGTAACGTAGACCATGTAAAGTAGAACAAAGAAGATATTCTCTCAGATCTTTGTTGAATGTTTTGATTGTCTCGTTATTTGTCATTTGGGAGAAGCGTTCTGGTTTCTCCTAGTTGATAAGGAAATAATATATTCTTAAAAGCACATTATTATTTAAAACAACGATGATTTAAACAAATCAAGATAAGATGTTACGAAAAAGTCTTAAAAAAAATTATGCTATTGACAAAATTTAGCGCCATATTTTGAGGAGAAACGCGAATAAACTGTCTTTTTTGTTAGAAGAACTTTTGATACACAAACTAGACTAAATATAGGTTTGGTCCTGTCAAACTGTATTTTCAATTGTGAAAATAACAACAGTAAAATTATATACTTACACGAATTTAATTAATTTACTTCGATTACATGTAACTACGGAAAAACGTTAAAACAAACCCATATTAAAATTTGAATTTATTTATTTAGGGACTAGTATAAAAAATATCAAATCGATATGCAACGCTATCTATATTAAGAGAACACCTGTTTCTTCAAAATAATGACAATTGATAAATTTATTATAAAAACTATTAGTATAGTAGGAATCTTTATTGATGATGTGCTTTTTTGACTTTTTTGATAGTTCAAATATAGTAAAAAAAGGATCGGCACCATTATCTATAATTTATTTTACCTCTTTTTTATTGTTACTGGTAGGAACTTTGTAGTCCCATATGTACCATGGAGTTAGTTCTTGATTGGCTTCATTTATCCACACGTTTTGCTAAAAATAATAGTATACCATTTTAATATCTAGTTCTTCTATATTGTTGACATAATATTAGTGAAATAAATACCTTTATATGGTTCTGTTTGTCAGCAGACTTTTTAGAGCGTCCGACGAAATCTTTGCGACCGTGTACCATTGTTGGATCTTTTACCAAAGTCGTCAAGTATTACATCCGTGTTCAAAGACTAATCAGCTCCGATGAAACACTCCTCGTAAACTACTAAAACTATGTAGTTAGTTGATGTAATCGGTTGATTGGTGTTGTACTTAGAAATGACGAATTGACCCTGCACCGCCTTTATTGGCTTTCGATATCGAAATTACACATTTTCGACAAACTTGTCCTTTCAAAGTAGGTAATTATTTAGCAGTTTCGTTCTTAAATCTATGTGGAACCGTCAATTTTACGCCGTGTAATTTAACTCAATTTGATTTGCTTCTGATAGTGTATTAGTTGAGAAATTGTTCTACTTTGTATTTGTTATTGATGAGTCTGTCTCCTACATTTGATAGTTCACCAGTAAGGTTCATTACATCTTACCGGAATATTATTTTGTTGTTGTACTACATAATTTAGGTATTGTTAGAAAGAATACACATGTTTCACTAACTCATTTAAAAAGGGGCATATCCATACAAACACACAATATAAGAGAAGTTTTTATCGTCTCATAGTGTTACACTCACTTTGTCTCCCGATGATTCATAATAATTAAACTTAAACTGTTTAATTTTTGAAATGACACAAGAAAGTGGGTTAGTTTTAGCAAATATTTACTAATATCATTATTAGTGATATAAGAAAAACTGGATTATAAAATGTAACAGTTTGAGCATAACCTTTGTGATTGAAAAATAGCCTCACGACTCACTTTTATCCCATTTTACATTAGTGATCTGATGTAGAAAATTCGATAATTTAACGTCTGTAGTGAAGTCACTTAAATGTTATTGTAATGAATAAGCATTTCAATGAAAAAATATACAGCTAACGTTACTCTACGTAAGCATATCTTTTTAGAGATCAGTGCAGTAAATGCAGGTGGGGAGTCACGCCACGTTCAGCGCAGTGCAACCAACTAAATTGTAATTACAACTATTAGACATGCACAACAGTGTTAATTGGACTAATACGGAAATCACGCACTGTTATAATTGACATACTAGTTTTAATACTTATATTTTAGTTGGGCAACAGTATCCTGCCGACCCCTAGATCGGATAATGTAATCACATTTTGAATGTTACCATCTACTTTGTACATATTTGTTTATACACCATAATAGTCGGAGGTTATTGATGTTTTGCAATTTCCAACTATCGCTTGTTCTAATGACCTACACTCAGGTCATGTGAATAAATATAAAATGTAATATATCATTTAGTTGCCTTAATTAGTTTCATTTCGTTTTGACTATTATTTAGTAATTGGCGTCGTAAGTTTTGTCATTAATTGGAAGTGATAGTGTGCATGAAAGAGAAAAATTAATTAATTTTGTTTTGAGTGAAAAGTTATGTTAATTCTTCAATTTTTTATATCATCTTAGTTGTTTTTTGTAACCCATCTAGAGAAGTACAAGTGTAAAAATATTCACGATATTCATTATAAAATATGGTGTTTGTTTCATTCGATTCTACTGCAGGATAAAAAGCTCCATCAATACTGAAAGATCAGAATTACGTGGCGGTACTGATTAGTTTACTTTAGCTTCAATCACGGCACTGCACTGGATTTTAAAGATCGTTTGCTTATAAGTTTGGTTCTATTGTTGATAGTTGGTTCTATTGTAAATAATACATGTAAATAATTTTCCGTTTCATATAATTCGTTTATTACGCATACATATTACAATAATTATTTACAAAATGTTCGTTTTCATAGAAATTTCTTATAAAAGTAACAAAAAAGCCACAAGGATAGAACAGGCTGACGCACTTGCACTTGGAAATTTTCTACAAGAGGAAGAGATCGAAGAAGGAAAAGGAAAGCGCCTGGACGCAGTCCTAGGGCGTGATTGGTACGCGCGGTTTCCGGGACCGCGGGCTACGGCTTAGCGCTGCGTCCGGGCCCTGATAGGAAGGGAAGGTTTCACCAGTGTTGCTGGGGCGCGTGCGCGGGTGCGCCGTGTCCCGCTTGTGCGTGTGCGGCGAGGTGGGCAGCGCGCGCCGCGGCGACCTCAGGTGTGTCCAGGATGCCAGAGCCGTCATGCGCTAACCTGATGTTAGCGGGTTGGTGAGCGGGAGCACCCTGCCAGGAGGGAGCACCGTTCCACTGCTGTTGAGCAGGTGCGTTCCATTGTTGGTGAGCAGGCTCGTTCCATTGCTGCTGGGCAGGGGCAGCGGATTTGGCGGCAGACAGGGCGGCGAGGTGAGCGGCACGAGCCTGGGCTACTTCTGGGGTCTCAGCAACTGGGGCGGGGGCGGGGCCGGCAGCGTTCCACGCGGGTGCAGCAGGGGCGGCGTTCCAGTGGTTAGCGGGAGCGGCGTTCCAGGACTGAGCGGGGGCAGCGTTCCATGATTGAGCGGGGGCGGCGTTCCATTTGGGTTGCTCAGCGCGTTGCCAGTACTCTTCGTTGTCCCAACGAGGATCGTAGGAACCATCATCATGTGGGTTGGGGTTGTTCTGTGAGGCTTGTTGGAGAGCTGCGATGTGAGCGGCGCGAGCTTGCGCTACCTCGGGGGTGTCGAGAATGTTGCGGCCGTCTTGTGACAGCGCAATGTTGGCTGGTGGGCCGGCCCAGCCGGAAGCGTGAGCGCCACACGCCAGCGCCAAGCAAGCTACAACGATCTGCAGACAAGAGCATAATTGTAAAACAGATATTCACGGCTCCGAGCTAGGTGTTTAACATGTTATGCTCTGTAATTGCTCTAATCAGTACCTAAGATCGTTATCTAGTATTGTTCTCTTTCAAGCAAGATTACGAGTTATTGCTACCAGTTGTATCTATTCAATTTTAGAATATCCTTCATTAACACGATAATATTCAGAGTTATTGCTGGTAGGTATTGGCTACTAATAATTGCTGAGTTACGTATCTGGTTCGTAGACCTCTCATTATAAGTCAAACAAGTCGTAACTATAATATAATTCCAGTGTCGGTGCTAAATCGCCCTCATTCTTGTTAGGTGTTTCTAGCAGTTTTATACTTATTTGTTATTATTAAAAGATATCTCAGGACAGTATTGCACGCAAAACATTGACGAATAATTCAAACAAGTGCGATTTGTCAAGTCAGGTTTAATCATTAATCTCTGACTGATATGAGTTCCGATGTGTCGCTCAGATAAACATTGCTTAAGTAACGGCCTCTAGTCAGTCGCCTATTAGGGGTTATTATTACTGTTTGTGACAGATTATTTACTTATTGTGTTCTAATATGAGGTTTTGACTAAATGCTTGAGTTTACAAAGGTAATTGGTTTCATGCTGTACCGGTTTTATTTCAAATTCTATGTAAAAGTACTAAGTGTCGAAAGATTAACCTCTAACAAATAATGGTCTACATTCAGATGTTGGGTTGTGTTTAATCTTGTGTGGCTAGACAAGTCGTGAGGTGGCTTGGTGTAAATTAGTGGGCGGCCCTTTATACCGATTTCCAAAAATATTAATTGGTATCAGATTAAATTAATTCATTTGTACATTTTGTATATATCTTTAATATTGCCTCGCCCGGGTTTTATAAGGGTCTCAATTGAATTTTATTGTGCAAAGTATTATTTTAGCGGCTTTAAGTGCAATTACAATATACTTGAAATGCAGAAACGGCGTAAGGTCATCCATAAATTACACTGATATATTGGATCAAGTTTACGTGATGACAGCACGCACAAAGAATGTGATCGGGTGTTCGGTTCGAATTTTATTGTCTTTAAATGTGCTTTTATGTATAATCGCCACCAAATATGGCTGGTTATATATTATATACCTGTATAATAAAGTGTTGTGATTTCTTTCACTTTTTTTCATTTTACTGAGTATTTTGATTTATAAAGTACACGGGCTTTTACCAGATTTTCCTTTTTTTACAAAAGAATGTAATATTACGAATGCTACTTGTATTTTTGCGGGTGATAATTTTTTACCCATTGTAGACTCTACAAATACAGTATTAATTTTTTGCCATATTTAATAACTTCATTATAAATGGAGAAAAGACGGCATAAATAATCAGCTAGTTAAATTATAAAATAACGCAATGCAATAGTATTGTTGTTAGTTGCCCTTATGCAATGTATGGTGGCGTAAATAATAAACTCTCATTAATTTATACATAAAGTAATATTACTATTTAATAACATATAAAATCCATTATATGTTATATGTATTGCGGAAATGAATTTCACACCAAGAAGACACTTAAAAAACCAATAAATTAAATTCTGATTAAATATGGACACTTCATTATTGATTACTCATTAAGATAGAATCGAAATCAACTTAAGGTGTAAATATATTTAATTTATTCCTGTAAAAGTGATTCATGTTAATTTGTATTTAAAATGTGGGGAATTTGTGGCGAACTAAGATCAGATGTAAAGTATGTCGAGGCTTGTGGTTTGGATAAAATCTAGATCACTACTCCGACTATTTATGTATATTATCAGATTGACGATGTACACGTGATCATATTAAATATATGTATACAGATTGTGCAAGTTTTAGGTAGTTTTAGGTATTTTTAGGTGTTCTTATTCTCTGTGAAACATTTTGAAATTTTAAAAAAGTATGTGTCACATGTTCATATTAAAAGAAGTTTTAGAAAATTCGATTTTCAAATGAGTTGTATTATTATTATGAAATAAAAAAGAAATATGTATTGTTTATATTGCGAGAGAATGTGGTTAAGTGTGAACAACATTTTAATGGGTGCTGTTAATTTTAATTAATTCATATATTCGAATTAATTAAAATTAAGTATACTTTTATTTCTAACTATGATCTTATGAAGAGATATCAGATTGAACCGACATTTTCATAACTAGCCTATTTAATAATTAATGAGAAAATTAAGTTTATATTTTAATGTATTTTGATGTTTAAAACACAAAGGTCATTAAAAAATAAACTCGTTGTACAATTTATAGATCAAATAAATTTGAATCCATGTAACAATTAATAATATGCATAAATGAATCA